CCTTGGCAAGGACGAATGGTTCGTCTTTGTACCAAATATTACTAAGGCCTAATGTTGTCATTTCATACTCGTTGTCTACTGTTACCCCGCCTCCGGTCACCTTGACCCATTGGCACTTGAACAATGGGATCTTCAAAGTAGGTGCATATTCTAGTTCCCATATTTCATCTATGCGGCCATAATATGTCTGCTTATTCCCATTCGGGTCTGTGGCATCTATGCGGACACCACTGTTTTGGTTGGTACTCCTTTTATCTTGGGCTACTGTGTAGAATATGTTCCCATTTATCTCGTACCCTTTGTATGTGACGATATGCCATGATGGTTGCATAGCCAATAAATACAGTTGCTCATGGATGCTCTCATCACCTTGACATTTTTTTCGCAACCAACCGCCGAAAGTTTCCATGTGCTTACGCGTAATCCAAGCTTCAGTCTTTCCTAGAAACTTGGATCGTAAGAGATCCTTATGTGTCTCAATATACGGATCTACCAAAGAGGAGTTCTGTAGAACTGTGTAGTGCGCTTTATTGAAATAATCATCCTCCGTACCAATATATGTTTTCCTCCCTAGTGTCCCCTTTCCGCTTAGTCTCCCCTCATGTCTCGATTCAGGAACACCAATCGAGTCAAGGTCGGGAATAAAGTCAACACAGAACTCAATGACCTCTTCTGTTCCATAGCCCTTGGTGATGCTTCCTTCTGGGCGAGCACGGTTGTGAACATATTTCTTCAGGACTCCCATGAATCTCTCTAAGGGGAACATGTTATGTAGGAACACAGGACCGAGAATGAAAATCTCCTTGACTAGGTGAACTAGGAGGTGTGTCATGACATCAAAGAAGGAAGGAGGAAACACCAACTCAAAGCTGACGAGACATTGAACCACATCATTCTATAGTTTAGCTAGATCAGTTGGATCAATTGTCTTCTGAGAAATTGCATTGAGGAATGCACATAGCTTCACGGTGGCTAGACATACATTTGGAGGTAGAATTCCTCTTAATGCAACTGGAAGTAATTGCATCATGAGAACGTGACAGTCATGGGACTTTAAGTTACATAATTTCTTCTCTGGCACATTTATAATACCCTTTATATTCGAGGAGAATCCAGATGGTACCTTGATGTTGTTTAAGCATTCAAACATGATTTCCTTCTCTTTGCTTAGAGTGTAGCTGGTAGGATGTAAGTAATGACGTCCATCATCTGTCTTCTCTGGATGCAGGTTGTCTCTTTCTCTCTAACAACGCAGGTCCTGTCGTGCTTCAAATGTGTCCTTAGGCTTTCCATACACACCCATGAAGCCTAGCAGGTTCACACAAAGATTCTTCGTCATGTGCATCACGTCGATCGAGCTGTGGACCTCTAGGACTTGCCAATAGGGTAGCTCCCAAAATATGGACTTCTTCTTCCACATGGGTGCGTGACCGTTAGCGTCGTTCGGAACAGGTTGGCTGCCATGTCCTTTTCCAAAGACGACTTTCACATCATTAACCATATCGAGTACATCCTCACCGGTTTGGTTGCGAGGCTTGGTCAGGTGGTCTGCCTTCCCTTTAAAATGCTTGCCTTTCTTTCTTACGGGGTGATTTGTAGGAAGAAATCGACGATGGCCAAGGTACATGACCTTTCGACATTTTTTCAAGAATACACCTCTAATATCACCGAAGCAGTGTGTGCATGCATTATATCCCTTGTTTGACTGTCCTGAATGATTACTTAAAGCAGGCCAATCATTGATTGTTACGAACAACAATGCTCGCAGATCAAAGTGTTCATGTTTGTACTCATCCCACACACGTACACCTTCTTTATTCCACAAAATGAGAAGTTCGTTAATAAGTGGTCTCAGGTACACATCGACGTCATTGCCAGGTTGCTTCGGGCCTTGGATGAGCACGAGCATCATAATGAACTTCCGCTTCATGTATAACTAAGGAGGAAGGTTGTAGATACTTAGAGTAATAGGCCAAGTGCTATGACTACTGTTCTGCTATCCAAAAGGATTGATACCATCTATACTTAAAGCAAACCTTAAGTTTCTTGCGTCATTTGCAAACTCTGTGAATTCTCTGTCGATTGCTCTCCACTGGGACCCATCAGTAGGGTGTCTCAACATATTGTCTACCTTACGTTTTCTTTGTGCCATCGCAATAATTTTGCATGTTCTTTGTTTCTGAACAGACGTTTCAAGCGTGGTATTATAGGAGCATACCACATAACCTTGGCAGGGATTTTCTTCCGCGGACGTTCGCCCTCAACATCACCAGGGTCATCTCGCCTGATCTTATACCGCGATGTATGGCATACCGGGCATGCATCCAATTTCTCATACTCTTTGCCACGGTAGAGGATGCAGTCATTAGGACATGCATGTATCTTCTTGATTTCTAGCTCCATAGGACAAACAACTTGTTTTGCTTCGTAGGTAGTGGCGGGCAATTCATTGTCCTTTGGAAGCATCTTCTTTTGGATTTTTAGTAACTCTCCAAATCCCATGTCAGATACACTATTCTTTGCCTTCCATTGCAGCAATTCTAGTGTGGTTCCCAACTTTTTCTGCCCTGCATCACAAGTTGGGTACAACAATTTCTTGTGATCTTCTAGCATCCGCTCGAACTTGATCTTCTCCTTTTCACTTTCACATTCTCTTTGTGCGTCACGAATGACCTGACAAAGATCATCAGCAGGCTCATCTTCTGCGGCTACCTCTTCTTCAGCTTCTCTCATTGCAGTATCATTGAAGCACGCACCATCGGGAATAATATCATTGTCGTCCCATTGTTCTTCTTCACCTTCTTCCATTACAACACCGGTTTCTCCGTGCTTCGTCCAACAAATATAGTTTGGCATGAAACCCGACTTGAACAGGTGTGAATGAAGAGTTCTTGAGCAAGGATATTCCACCATATTCTTACATATGGCACATGGGCAGCACATGAAACCATCGCGTTTGTTTGCCTCGGCCGTACGTAACAAAGAATGCACGCCGTCAATGAACTCTTGGGAGTGGCGATCAGCATTGTACATCCAATGCCGGCTCATCTGCATTACATGACATAAATACCATATTAAAATCTAGATCATAATTAATTATTTATACAACATGCGTGCCACCACAAAAGGTACAAATTTATGAAAGCATCGCTACAATGTAGATAATCCCAACTACCACTAAAAGAACTAAAGCTAAAATACATTTCAGGAGCACAAGGATTTCGCGACCAATCTCAACTAAAACAGATAGATTCCCCGATTGTGCAACATCTTTGGGCTTCTTCGGCTGGATCACTACATCATTAGCCGCCGTATCTGCCTGTTGTGCAAGATATTTTTGCACGAGTTCAACATACTCTTCCTCCCAATAGAAGCCTGAACATCGTCCACTGCCATCCCACTGAAATTAAAATAAAAAATTAGAACTTTAATCACAACCATCATGAAAATAGGTATAAACTAACCATAATCATAAAATACGATAAAATAACTCACATTGCGATCCGGACACTTGTAGAAGATACGACCCTTGTTGGAACCCTCCTTCTTCACTCGGTACTCCATCACAATCTTCGTCTCATCACGACACTTGCCACATGGAATGAGAGGGAGGCCCGGCCTAAATCGCTTTGAAAACCCATGAGAGGCCGAGGACCCGGAAGCAGTTGCCATCTACTCTCTATACTCATTTTTTAACACACTATAAATTTCTCATTTTATAAACAAATAAAATTAAGAAACTATAAAATTATCTATATCTCTAAACAATGAAGTGTGCTATGCATGCTAGAAATAAAAAGTGAATACTAATTTTAAACACCTACTTTAACCTTTCTTCATCAAAATATGCAAACTATAAGTTATTTTGAGCTCAAATTGTTTACAAAAAACACACACTATAAAAACAATATATATATAGTGAACAATATGAGATAAACCAATGATGAAAAATGAGAGTATGAGATTGGTAATCTTTACAACTGAAGAATTAATGGAGGAATCGAAGAAGGAATCGAAGAATGGATGGAGGAACAACGGAGGGAGGAAGCAAGAACACTAGTGCAGTGAGCTTCAAAATGTGCTGAGCTCGGGCTCGGGGAGGAAGAAGGAGACGACTGGGATATAAAGGGGGACCTTTAGCCCCGGTTGGTGGCTCCAACCGGGACTAAAGATAACTTTCCAACCCCCGGCGCAGCCACGGCCCGGGAGTAGACCTTTACTTCCGGTTGGAGCCACCAACCGGGAGTAAAAGTTTACTGCTTAGTTCCTTCTTGATATGGTGCCAGTTAATTGTGCCAAATGCTCTTTTACCTTTTACTTATTTGGGTCTGCCACTTAGTCTCACTCAGCCTTTTACTCAAGTGGCTCAATCGGGACTAAAGGTCCCTGCCACCTCTGTCTGGCAAATTTCATAGATGTCAGCTGGGCAGGGACCTTTAGTCCCGGTTGGGGCCACCAACTGGGACTAAATGTATCTCTAGTCCCGGGCACAAAAAATACTAGGACTAGAGCCTATTTTGATCGAGGAAAATTCAACTTTCTAAGAAATTAAAGCAAAACTGCTCACTGTTGGTTTGGCAGAGAGTCCGTCACCAGTGACGGTGGGTCCGTCATGCCATCTGCACGACCTGATAGAATTCAGCCTCTGTTAGTGTAAACTCGACCACGGCGGAGAGTCTGCCAGAACCAGCGGAGGGTCCGCCTGTCCATCCCATGCAACAAACCTGAGGTATCACTTTGTTAGTCTTTTGGACCCCACACCCAGCACCAGCTGTGCATATCGTGAGAGCCCAAACTAGAGGCCACAGCCAGCTCACTCTCTCGTTCTCACACTCCTCTCACTCTAGTTATTATTTATATATGAGAGAATCAAAACATGTTTAGACTTTTAGAGCACCTCATCAAGCAGAACACTATATAAACTGCCTAGCGCTAGCAATCGAGAACCAGAATTAGCCAGCCAGCAGCGTATAGATACTGGACATTGATACGTGGACGCGATGGCACTCGTGGAGGAGAGCAGCCAGGACTTGCTGCAAGCTTACGTCGTGCTCTGGCACCAGTCCCTGTGCTACGCCAAATCGATGGCGCTCGCCGTGGCGCTGGACCTCCGCATCCCTACAATCGTGCTCAGGGAGTGCGGCGAGGTGTTTGGTGGGATCGACTCGTTGGTCGACGTCGCCGGTGTGCGTGGTGGTGCCACCGCCAACATTGCCGCTGCCTTCCCGCACCTCAAGTGTAGTGTGCTTGACCTCCCGCACGTTGTCGCTGGTGCTCCATCTGATGGCACGCAGGCACTGGTGGCCTCTTCGCTTCTCTTATAATCCGTCTTTTTAGCTTGTTTTTTCAGTCGGAACAGTATTTTTTTCTCTCACAACAAATTAGCCGGAACAGTATTTCAGTTTGTTTTTTCAGCGAAGCGAACAGGGCCATTAATATGTTTGAGAGTATTCCACCTGCAACCGCTGTTTTCCTCAAGGTACATCCGTCACTGTTGACTGCTCCCTCCATTTTTTGTTGTATTTGCATTTTGAGATCCATGTCAAACTTGAAAATTTTGACTATCCTTTTTCTTATCTTGGATGAGATGCTTCATAATACCCAAAATAACTTGATTCCAAAAATCAAGTCAAGCTATCTTAAATTTGATTAACTTTATAGCAAAGAATAATAACATATATGATACCAAACATATATGTTATTATGAAAATATATTTCATGATGTATTAGTAATAATACTAATCTGTTATCATAAATACTAATGCTAGTTTTTAATAAAATTTAATTAAGATTAAAATGGTTTGACTTAGGACAACTCTATAAGTTAATTCAGGTTGTGTTTTGTTGGGCTCTAGATTTTTCTAGAAATGTTTCAGATGTGGATTATCTCATAAAATGTTTTGTGTGATGAATCGAAATCACTTTACAAAACCGTTTGATTATGAGCCTGGATTCTGATTCCCACAAAGTTCTTTTTACACAAAAAATGATATAAATGAAAATAAGCTTCAGAAAAATTCTAAAATTTGTATGGACGAAGAACAAACTTAAATACAATCTGTTATTATTTGTTACACTTAAAAATAATAATTTAAGAAAAATATGGTCGCTAGTGTATAGCTAGGGGCGGAGCTAGAGGAAATTTGAGGAGGTGCGCTTACCTTGTCAGTGCATACATTTTTATAGGTGTGCGTATATGGTGAAAATTTAATCATACTGCTTTTTTGTTTTTTTCGGTGGGTGCGTCCACACCCCTTACCTACTGCATAGATCCGCCTCCCAGTGTAGCAAGCACCAAAACGGAATCCTCCGAAACTAGTGTTTAGGACCGTTTCACATGTGTAGTGCAAAATAGAAGAATCGTTTCAACTGTTTCTGAAACGAAAGGCAATGTAATAACTGTGTTTGGCAGTGATTCTAACTTTTTAGCATAAAATTGGAATCGTTCTAGCATTGCCAAACGAACTCTAGTAGAAATAAAGGGCTCTGACATTATAAGGCCCTATTTAGATCATAGGAACTATCTTTTAACCCAAACACCAAGGTCTCTTTTCTTCATTACCTATCGATTAATTTGATGATTACCTATGCCAGACAACTTTACATGACTGGAGTGACGACGAGTGCGTCAAGATATTGAAGAAATGCAGGCAAGCGATATCTCCACGGGATGCAGGAGGGAAGATAATAATCCTGGACATGGTAGTTCGATATGGGGAGCCAAACATAAAGCATCTAGAGACACAGGTTATGTTTGATTTGTATATTATGTCGGTCAATGGAGCTGAGCGCGACGAACAAGAGTGGAAGAAGATTTCCATTGAAGCTGGATTCAAAGACTACAAAATTCTCCCCGTTGTTGGCGCTCTATCGGTCATCGAGGTCTATCCATGAATGCTTGGTGAACAAAGGCCTCCATAATAATAATTACACAGATTAAGACTAATTTGCGAGACGAATCTATTAAGTCTAATTAGTCCATGATTTGACAATGTGGTGCTACAGTAAACATTTGCTAATTAGTCTACTAAACGTGTTGTCTCAAGAATTTTTTTATTTAATAAAAAAGCCTCAGCAGGGGATGTGTGCTGTTGTCCCTGCAAGTATATATTTCTTATCAAATTTCTGTTGGATATGTATTTATCAAACAAACAGACAAGTAAAACAAGTAAAAAATTCAGTAGCTAGAAAACATTCGGTTATCAACTCAGTAGCTGTCGGGTTTATAAACCCGGGGTCCCCAATGGACCCGCTTCCCTGCAAAACCTGGCCCAGCAGGCGGCGCAATGACAACGCGCGCCTAGGCTAGCCCAGATATATAATGACAGGCCGGGACAATGATCTGGTCCTCGACCAGAAGGCCTGGCCAAGGTGGGACCGCAGTCTGGCTCCGACCTCCTTCTCTAACCAAGGATACGCCAGACCTCTGCTCACTGCTCTTTCCCGACCGACACGGTCGGGACCGACTGGGAACGACTGACCGAGGACGCCCGCTTACTGAGGGCCCAAGGATCAGGCGGACTAGATAAGGTAAGGCGTTCAAGTTAACCTCAATACCGAGGACCATACCTTGCCATGCCCTGCGCACCTGTAGGACGGTGCCACCAGGCCATGCCAGACAGGCATTATACAACCTTCCAGACGCGTCAGAGCATAAACAGTGTTGTAGGCACCGACGACCGTCTCGTACCCTACAGTGTGGGCAACAAGACTAGGTAGCACACGTATACACTCTATCTCTTTCTCTGACTTGTAAGGCAATCCCCTTCGACTATAAAAGGGGATGAGTTCTCTACTAAAAGCTCTCTCGAAAGAAAAAAGGCTAGACGACTCGAGGACTCGACGACCTAAACACTCGAACAACTCAATAGCCCTAGAACTCGATAGCTACACAGAGCATACGCTCCAATACTTAGCACATGTTAGAGCACCCGTCACTCTCAGCTATTCGGTTCAGAGTCCGACCGGGCCTTTAACACCCCCTTCTCATTTCTACTCGTTTGTAACCCCACAGCAAACTTTGAGCACCTGGGCTCAAGAATAAAGTAACCGACCGACTCAAACTAGACGTAGGGCACGTTGCCTGAACCAGTATAAATCATATGTCATTGCGCGCTAGGACACATCCGATCACAACGCAAGGCAAAACTACAAATATTTACTTATTGGTCGCTTTTCGCACCGACAGTTGGCACCGTCTGTGGGGAAGACGTTGTGCGTTCATGCTTTTGATCATCGGATGGCCCACCTTTCCACCATTTTTTACATGGCGGGCTCGAGCGATACGATTCGCTTTGGCTCATTAGAGTTTCCCATGCTCCCACCTGTTGGGATGTGGGTTCCTCCCATCTTCGAGCCACTCCAGACTTTCCTCTTCGGAAGCTTGGACTTCATCGCCGACCGGCTCGGCGTACTCTGCCTCCGTGAGGAGGCGCTCGACCCGACGTCCACTGGAGGAGGAGAACTCTCCACCAGCCCCGGCCACTCGATGACCCCAATGTCGAGATACTCACGCTTCGCCATGAGCCCATGCTGGGCTCAAACCCCACTATGAGTGATGTACATATTGTTCTTTACTCACTATTTAACACCTTCCGCCGACTCTCCGAAGGGACCCCGTTGTACCCACCACGACCGCCATGCAACCGGTTCCCCTATGGCTTCGCGTCCTCTATGGACACATGCACGTGGGGGCTCCGAAGGATGCTGATGTCGCCCCCTCTCATGTTCGAGTTTGTGGGGATAGCGGGCTATGCCCCTGCCTCCTTCCACGACCTCGTTGACAACGAGGTCGAAAGCGATGGCTCCAGCATCGATGACATCGTGGCACCTGGACACCCTATGTCCTGAGAGTGCGCTATGGCAGATGCCCCGGGACAACCACCGGTGGTAGTGGAGTCTCTATAGACCCACACCCCTCCGGACCCTCGTGCGAAGGCCCTGGCGCGTGCGCAGGAGCATGGCAAGAAGTTACGACCAACATGGCAGAGCCAACCACCACCTACGCTGGCGCGCTCGGTGCAACACGGTGTGCCACATGCATAGAACCCAGCAAGCGGTGCTCGGGGTCGCGCCCATCAGGTCCAGCGTAACATCCTGGACTGAGGGAACGACTCCCCTCAGTTTGCTCGGGCTGGCCAGAACATCGCTGCTACGGCGATGCTTCTGCGCGGCCTCCCCGAGCCTGTCGACCCCTAGGAACAGGCAATGCACCGAAACCTCTAGGCACTGGTGGAGACCACCACCGTTCAACAGGCGGAGAGCTCCACATTGTGACACCGGCTCGTGGCCTCTTGCCCAACACTAGAGGACTAGGGCCGCACCAGTCTAATCGCTCTGTCCACTCACCACTGCTATTGCCGGGCGTGAGGCAGGAAGCCATGGCTACACCGCGGCCTGACCTAGGGCCCGCTCCACACTGACCACCTATGTGTGAATGGCTTGGGCCAAACTGTGAAGCTCGTAGCGTCATCAACAATCGACGCCACACCCAACGACGATGATGACGCGTCCATCGATTGGCGGTGAAAGCAGGCGGCGCAGGCCTTGGCCTGACCATCGAGTGCGGGGACATGCACCCAAACATGGTGGCCGACCAAACGATCGGAGCCCCAGCCCAGATGGACCGAGACCATGGGCCTTTTTCGTCACATCCAGAAAGCGTTGTTCCCACAACACTTTCGACCGCCCACCAATATCGCCAGATACACCGGGAGACGAACCTCGGTATATGGCTCGAAGACTTCTGGCTCGCCTGTCGAGCCAGAGGAGTGGATGATTGCTACTTCATCATCCAGTACCTCCCCATCTACGTGGGGGAGCATGTTGGTGCATGGCTCGAATTCCTTCCGCCCGACAACATCCGTGATTGGGCGGATCTCAAGAGGGTCTTCATCGGAAATTTTTAGGGGACGTATGTCTGTCCTAGGAATTCCTAGGAACTCAAGAGCTGCTAGCAGGAGCCCAATGAGTCCCTATAGGATTACATCCGCAGGTTCTGAAAGCAGTGGAACTCCCTTCCAGATGTCATCGCCGCAGACATCATCAGCGCGTTCCTCTCTAGGACAACCTGCAAGTCCAAGTTCGACTGTGTGAAGCCCCATACCATCTGTGACCTGCTTGACATCGCCACGAACCATGCCTCCGGCGAGGAGGCAGTCGGGGCGGTCTTCAGCTGCGGTCGGGATAGGGGCAAGGCCAAGCGTGAGGACCAAGGCGAGGGCCCCTCCACACAAATGGGCAAGAAGAACAAGAAGGATCGGCGCCGACCGGCCAACCTAGCTTTGATCGTTGTGGCCGACCGAGCGGGCAAGCAGCCCCAGCAGGGCCAGCCCGACCACTTTGACAAGCTCATAGAGAGTCCATGCACCAACCATGCCTACCCCATCAAGCACCACTACAAGGACTGCGAGCTCCTCAAACGCTTTCTGTGGCAAGCCGCAAGCCAAATGAAGGGAAGGGTAAGGAGGAGGCGGCCAAGAAAGGAGGTGCGGTGGGCAAGGATGAAGACGGCTTCCCCAACCCCGAGGAATGTCTCACGATCTTTGGGGGATTTGACGCCATCCACTCCAAGCTCCAGCACAAGGTACGCTACAGAGAGGCATGCGCCGCTGAATCAGCCATCCCCTCTTTCCTTAGCTGGTCGGACTCCCCGATCACTTTTGATCAGATAGACCATCCTTCCCACATCACCCGACCGGGTCGCTACCTGCTCATTGTCGACCCCATCGTCCGCAAGAAGCACCTCACCAAGGTGCTGATGGACGGAGGCAGCGGCCTCAACATTCTCTACGTCGACACCCTCGACGCCATGCGCATCCCCCGATCAGAGCTCCACCCAGTGAGCTCTCCCTTCCAAGGCGTGATCCCAGGGACATAGACGTATCCACTCAGGTAGATCGACCTGTCCATCACGTTTGGCGATCGTGCTAACTTCTGCTCGAAGGTCCTAACCTTCGAGGTAGTGGACTTTCTGAGGTCCTACCACACCATCTTGGGGCGGCCATGCTACGCCAAGTTCATGGCGATCCCCAACTACACCTACCTCAAGCTTAAGATGCTGGGGCCAAACAACGTCATCACCGTGGGTAGCACCTTTTTGCACGCCTACACGTGCGACCGCGAGCATTACAAGCTCGCCACTGCCGTTATCAACTCCGCCGAGCTCCCGGAGCTCAGGAATTCGGCGACTCCAACAGTCCCCGATTGCAACGAGCCGACCTCCTCAAGTGCCTTCCATCTAACTGAGGAAACCAAGGCACTAGAGATCGACCCCACCGACCCGACCAAGATGGTTCGGGTCGAGACCAAGCTTTCGGCCAAATAGGAAAGCGAGCTTGCTGACTTCCTACATGTCAATCGTGATGTCTTTGAGTGGAAACCTTCTGACATGCCGGGCATACCAAGGGAGGTCGCCGAGCATGCACTACGTGTCGTCTCGGGCTCAAAGCCCACCTAGCAACGCCTACGTCGCTTTGACGATGAGGGCGCAGGGCCATAGGCGAGGAGATTGCCAAACTTCTAGTAGCCGGATTCATCAAAGAGGTATACCACTCCGACTGGCTAGCTAATCCTGTTCTTGTAAAAAAAAGAATGGGAAATGGAGAATGTGTGTTGATTATATAGGCCTCAACAAGGCATGTCCAAAGGACCATTTTCCTTTACCACGCATAGACCAGATAGTCGACACTACCTCAGGGTGCAAAATCCTCTCCTTCCTGGATGCCTACTCAGGCTATCACCAGATCGCAATGAAAGAGTCCGACTAGCTTGCGACTTCATTCATCACCCCGTATGGTTCATATTGCTACATAACCATGCCTTTTGATCTGAAGAACGCTGGTGCCACCTATCAACGGTGCGCGCAGCGATGCTTCACCGACCAAATTGACCCG